GTATGATGAGTTTGAAGGGTTTTGTGGTCTCGTATATATGTGAACCTCTCTGTAATTTTTCCTTTGTCTTTTTTTTGAGATGGGTTCTTGCTCTGTTTTCCAGACTGGAGTGCAGTGGCATAATAGCTCACTGCAGCCTCAAACTTTTGGGCTCAAGCAGTCCTCCCACCTAAGGCTCCCAAGTGACTGGGACTACAGTTGTGCACCACTATGCCTGGCTAATTTTTATTTTTTTGTAGCTACGAGGTCTCACTGTGTTGCCCAGGCTGACTTCAAGCAATTCTCCCAACTCGGCCCCCCAAAGTGCTGGGATTACAGATGTCCTGTATTTGAATTTTCAGGATGAGGAAGAGGAGAACAAGTAGGCGAAAGGAGTCATAGCTTCTGATGCTAGTCATGCATTGTGAATAGGTACACCTTTGACTCATGTTTCACTTCAGGCCAGCTCCCACGGGTCCACCCAGCTTGCTGTTTGCCAAGTACAAACTCACCAGTGGGCAAAGGGCTTACAGGTATTCTTTTATGGCCCTTCTGTTGCAAGGGGACACAGCCTGGACCCTCTGGGCTTAATACTCTCTAATTTCCTCCTCCTTCGACCCAGATACTAAGGCCCCAAATGAGGCCAGTCATAGTTCATTAGTGTGTCCAGGCTGCTTAAGATGAGATCTTCCTTTTAAAAATCTCCTTTGTTAAAGAAGGACAAAATTAAGAACTTCGCAGTAACTTGGATAGAGTTAGAGTCTATAATACTCAGTGATCTATCACAGGAACAAAGAACTATCAACAAGGGTACCTGCATGATCAATGTTTATATACCTAACCCTGAATTGTACCCTACACCTTTATAATAAAAATTAAAAAAAAAAAAGAGACAAAGAACTGAGTGCCACCTGTTTTCACTCATAAGCAGACCCTTATACTATAAAAAAGGGATTGGCAATAGAGGGAAACTGCCAAGGGAGGTGGGGGGGGCACTTCATCAATAAGTGTACCTGATCTCAAACCAGGCAAAGTGGGGGTCAAAGAGAGGCCCAAGCTTTACCTGTACAGTGACCATTTGTATATCTAATCCTGAATTGTACCCCACATCCTTAGAATTAAAAAAAAAAAAGATACTAAAAAAAAAAATCTCCTTTGTGTTTACAGTTGAGGCCACTGATTTGTTAGGCACTGGCATCCAGACCCCTGAGGTAGTAGGTGTGATTTCCAAGCTCCTCTCATTAATTTCCCTTGTCCCACTTATGTGAATTCCATGGAAGGTTTTGACTCATCTTGAGCAGCTGGATGCTCCTGTACAGTCTCGTTAACCATTTTGACTTTTGCCAAGTAAATCTTGCCCCTACATGCTTCCTTGCCTGTTGTACACCACCCCCTCTGCCTGGAACAGCACCTCCTCCTCCTGAGAAAGCTCCTACTTGTCCTTCAAGACCCAAGGAAACTCCATAATTTTCTCTATCAGCACACCTCATACTGTGTCATAATTATTTGTTCGTACTTCAGTCTTCACTAGGCCGTGTGGTCCTTGAGGGCAGAAACTAGGCCTGGTGTATTAATATCCCCCCAGGACCCAGCACAATGTCGGCTGCGTGGGTCCAACCATTTATTCACAGTGTTTATGCATAGACTTCCTTGTGCCAGGCACTCTGCTAGGCATAGGGGAACCTAGGGCTGAACAAGGCAGACAGAGACCTTCCCCCTGCCTCTGGAAAAAGTGACCAGTGAGCAAGGAAATAATCATGGACAAGATACTTTGGAAGTGCTGTGCTTCAAAATGACTGCTGTGTGGAGGATGTGTGGGGGAAGGCCTCTCTGAGAAGATGCCTTGGAGATGAAGGATGAGAATAAATCTGCCATGCAGAGAACTAGGGAGAGAGCTCAGGGCAGGGGGCTGGTAGGTGTAAACTTGCAGGGGAGGAAAAGGTCTCAGGGTGTTTGGGGAACAAATGGGAGACCAATGTTGCTGAAGCATGAGGAGCCATGGGAGGGAAAGGTGAGCATGGCCTGGCTAGGTCCTGAGTGCCTCTTCCAAAAGCCACAGTGAGGAGTTTGAAATTTTTCCCTAAGAGCAGTGGGAAGTTTTTGGAGGAATTATTTCCAACTTTTCTTTTTTTTTTGAGTCAGAGTTTCACTCTGTCCCCCAGGCTGGAGTGCAGTGGCACACTCACGGCTACCCCAGGGTCGACCTGCCGGGCTCAGGCGATCCTTCTGCCTCAGCCTTCCAAGTAGCCAGACCTATAGGCATGTACTACCATACCTGACTAATTTTTGATTTATTGTAGAGATGAGGTCTCGCTAAGTTGCCCAGGCTGTTTTCAACTCGTGGACTCAGGCAATCCTCTCACCTCGGCCCCCCAAAGTGCTGGGATTACTGGTTTGAGCCACCGTGCCTGGCCTATTTCCAACTTTTAATGTCCAGGTGGAAATCTGATTATCACCGTCCTTCTGCTACCTCCCCTTTTTCTGCTACCTCTTTTATCCCCACCCAAGCTGGCTTCCATTTAGACCCTGAGATTGCCACTCCATGTTTGCTCTGTGGCAGTCTGGGCTGTTCTTCTCACGCTGGAGCAGCTCTGCTCCTGTTGTTGCTTTGTCTGGCCTCCAGCAGGGCCCTGAGTGCCAGTGAGGTTTCCTGACCTCTATGAGCTTCCATTCTCATTCCCCCTAATCTAACTCACAGTGGGTCTCTGTGGCTCTCAGTCCCCCAGGCTGGACATCTGCTTCTGGAACCTGTGAATCGCCCCCCCCCACCCCCACCCTGCCGCAAACATAGTTGCTTAGCTTCCTTTGCCATTCTTACTTACCTTCTCCAAATGAACCAGCCTCTTGAGATTATTTAGGTTCTCCCTCCCTGAGCCTATTCTATTTTTGTTTAATGTCTCATCTGAGGTCTGGCATGGTGGCTCACACCTGTAAACCAAGTACTTTGAGAGACTGAGGCAGGAGAATTGCTTGAGCCCAGGAGTTCAAGACCAGCCTGGACATCATAAAGAGATTTCATCTCTACAAAAATTAGCCAGGCATAGGGGTGCACGCCTGTAGTCCCAGCTACTTGGGAGGCTGAGGAAGAAGGATCACTTGAGCCTAGGAGGTTGAGGCTGCAGTGAGCTGGGATCCCATCACTGTACTCCAGCCTAGGTGACAGAGTGAAACCATGTCTCAAAAAAAAAAAATAGTAATAATAAAACATTAGAAATAAGCCTCATCTGGGCTGTTTTGACAAAAATATTTCTTGAGGTTATCTCATTTTTTTTAAAAATAGCCAATATATACTGAATACTTTCTATGTGCAAGGAATGTACTGAACACTCTCCATGAAATCCTAATTACCATAAATCATGACATCAATCCTATAAGTTAGATGCCATAATCTCCATTTTATGATAAGGAAACTGAGGCTTAGAGATGACATAGTACATGGCAGAGCTGGGTCTGAACTCAGGTGACTCTAGAGCCAGTGAATTTAATTGGTACTGCCTTGGACAGTCTACTGTGGTTCTTTATGATCTTGAAATCCTTCCCCATACCATCCCTAAAGCTACTTCTGTATGACGCCTACTTTCTTGTCTTTACTCCAAAGGTCTCACTTCACAAGGAAAATTAGCAGGGACTCTCAGAACCATCTATTTCCTGATCTGTGCTGTGCTTGGGCATGGGAGCCATGCCTCTGTTCACAGCACATCCATCAGGCACATGTGTAGGTTTTGCTGAGTGAGGAAAAAAGCAGGGACTCCTGCTCCCAGTTTACAGACATAAGCTAAGTTTCTTCTTAGGATTTTAAGTGCTGTTGTTACCCAGGGAGGGTTGGCGAGCAAGAAAATGAGAGGAGGCCAGGCATGGTGGCTCATGCCTGTAATACCAGCACTTTGAGAGGCCAAGGTGGGAGAATCGCTTGAGACTAGGAGCTCAAGACCTACTTGGACAACATAGTGAAACCCCATCTCTATTTAAAAAAGACTTTTTTTTAGCCGGGCTCGGTGGCTCAGCCTGTAATCCCGCGCCTTTGGGAGGCTGAGGTGAGTGAATTGCCTGAGCCCGCGGGTTCGAGACCCGCCTGGGTAGCGAGACCTCATCTCTACAATAAATCAAAAAAATCAGCTGGGCGTGGTGGCGCATGCCTGTAATTCCGGCTACTCGGAAGGCTGAGGCGGAAGGATCGCCGGAGCCCAGCAGGCCGAGGCTGTGGTGGCCGGGAGCGGCCACTGCACTCCAGTCTGGGCGACAGAGTGAGACTCCAACTCAAAAAAAAAAAAAAAAAAAAAAAAAAAAAAAGACTTTTTTTTTCTGTTTAAAGAAAAACTAGAAAAGGCTGCAGGAAGACAGTTTAATCTATAGACTTTTCTAAGAGGCAGAGATGTCCAGAAAGGGAAGCTGCTATCCTGGAGTATTGGAGGAGGTTGGGCAGTTCCCTTTTGCTATAAATGGGGTCATTAGAGGGTAGTTCAGCATTAGAGGAGTGGCTGGACTCTCCTAATGTTTATCCTTGGAGATTCTTCAACCATGAGAGGATGAGATTCTAAACCCTGAATGGTGCTGGGTAGAATGGCTCGAAGATGGTCAGTTACAGTGTTGCCGGGAAAGTGCTCTCTCTGCATCATCATGCCCGTGGACTTCCTAGGAAGAGTACACTGGCCCAGTTGGAGGAGTAGAAGTAGCAGTTGAGGCCTTTCAGCCTGGATTGCACCTGCCCAAGGAAAGCATTGCATGGGACTGTTGTTGTGGCGAGGTATAACAATCTCTGTCTTGCTGCTACAGGTGACTCTGGAGCGCTTTGGTGACTTTCCATTACAGAAGTGAATGGGACCATGTGCTAAAGATTTGTGGAAAAAGAGCACTTGTGCCAGGAAGGAAAGGCCATGGGAATGCAGAAACTACACGTCTGCTACTAGGATTCTTATGAAAGTGCATTGTGTGATGATGACCGAATTAAAGGGTTCTGCGGTCTTGTGTGCATATGTGGAACTCTCTGTAATGTTTCCTTTGTTCTGTATTTGAACTTTCAGTAAGAAGAGGAGGAGAATAAGCAGGCAAGCGAGCCATGGCTTCTGAGGCGAGCCATGTGCTGGAAGCAGCTCTAGAGCAAATGGACGGGATCATTGCAGGTACGCTCAGGGAGTCCCCACGACAGAGGCCTTGCACTCCACATTTCAGAAAGTGTTCTGTCTCATTTTAATGTTTTACTGGAGTAGAGAGAAGCCTCCTGTTAGACTCACTCTTGTTAGACTTATTGTTGTATGTGTCATCTCTCTTCTTTTTCTCGTTTTTGTAAAGCACAAGCTTGTAGAACTCTGTGATGATCAGGAGTGACAGTTTAGTTCTCTGTTGAGACAGTATGAAGTACCATATGCATGTAGACAGCTGTCTCAGTTTGGCTCCTGACTGAGAGGTAGTTGGGGTTCGGTGATGTTGATTCTATTGTAACATCTTCAGAGTACAACATGGCTTACTGTAACTGAGCTGAAACTCGAAACCTAGCAGACTTTGCCACCTATAGGCAAAGTGAGTCAACTCACTTCAGCTTGTCTCCAGTGTGCTTCAGAGATGGGAGGCAGGTTTGTACTGATTCACTTCATAATTAGAATGTTCTTCATACCATATTGTTTTTTATTCATTTCAACTGTTGAGTTTTAATGTTTGCATTAGCCAGGAGTGGACTTCTTCTGAAAGATCCGGCAAAACTGTAGTTAATTGGAAAGTGAGCTATTCTGATTCACTTCTTTGTGGAGACAACCAGAAGTCCCTTTTGGTTATAACAAACCTGTCACTGGAAATCTTTCTAAAAGGCTTCTGGTTTTCTTTCCTTGTCTGATATGATTCAGTGGCCTTATTTGTGGATTGGGTGTGCTTCTTTGGGACTTTTCTCCTCATAGCGTAAGCTATGGCTGGAGGACCTGGGGGAGGAAGGCACTGGGCTGCATGTGGCTAGATCATAGAAAGTGCACAGGGTATGTGACAGTGCCCCTTTTCAGGTATTTACTTTTCTTTCCAATTGTAGAGATACAGCTGAGTCACAGCGTTCTGGGTATTTGAGCTTGGGAGTGGGAGAGGTTGCTTTTCCTGCAGCTTCTTCAACATTATTAGTGGCACTGTAATGGATTCTAGCTATCATCTGTCATGTTCTTAATTTTCTGGCGAACAGAGGACCTTTGGGAGGCCATGCCTAATGTCCTGCTTTTCGGGGACTCCATAGATTGGGATGTCTTGTTCTATGTTAGGGGCTCTGATGCCTTATTGAGAAGAAACAGTCAAGAGAGTGGATTTCTTTTTTTTTTTTTTGAGTCGGAGTCTCACTCTGTCTCCCAGACTGAAGTGCAGTGGCTGCTCCTGGCCACCGCAGCCTCGACCTGCTGGGCTCCGGCAATCCTTCCGCCTCAGCCTTCCGAGTAGCCAGAATTACAGGCGCGCGCTTCCACGCCCAGCTAATTTTTTGATTTATTGTAGAGATGAGGTCTCACCAGCCCCGGCGGGTCTCGAACCCGCGGGCTCAGGCAATCCACTCACCTCAGCCTCCCAAAGGCGCGGGATTACAGGCTGAGCCACCGACCCCGGCTGAGAGTGGATTTCTTAGCAATCCTTTCAGACAGCCTGATCTGGAAGCTCCCAGGGGCTCACATGCATTGTGATAAAAGCCTTAGAGACAGGTCCTCAGAATGGCTGAGATGATCAGCACTTCTGATCTTCCAGCCAAGGAACAGGGAGAAGATTCTGAGCAAGCTCCTGACAGAGGTCTTGGAAGGTTGTGGATGGATGAGTAAAAATACTATCTTTTCTCTGTTGTATTGTCTTTGTTCCTTTGTCAAAGATCATTTGACTATATTTATATGGGTCTATTTCTGAGCTCCCTATCTGTTCCATTGATCTATTTGTCTAATCTATCTTTGGCCAATACCATACTGTATTGATCACTATAGCTTTATTGTAAGTCTTGAAGTTGAGTGGTGTCAGTCCTCCAATTTTGTTCTTCTCCTTCAATTTTGTATTGACTAGCTTGAGTCTTTTGCCTCTTCTTATAAACTTGAAAAGCAGTTTTTCAATGTTCATAAAAATTTCCTGGAATTTTGATTGGGATTGCATTGAATCTATTTAGATCATGTTGGGAAGAACTGACATCTTGGCAATATTGAGCCTTTGAGGGATGTATGAGACACCTTCTAAAGAAGGCAGTCTTATGTGGAATCAGTGTCTCTTTCTGCCTCCTAACTTCTCCACACAGTCATTCCTAAAATGACAGAGACTCTGACAAAATTTCTTTTGTCTCTGAGAGATTATGTGACTGGATCCTCAAGACCTTTCCTTGGCCCAGGGTCTGCAGTTGAGAATTTGGGATGGAAGTGGAGGAAGGAGCCCTGTGTGGAACCCAGAAGATGTATTCTTCTAACCTTCGGATACAATGTACTTCAATTTCCTTAGTCTTCCATCCTGGAAGTTTCTATCTAGAAGGGCTCCCTGGGCTTCTCTGTCTGGAGCAGGTGTGGGAATTTTGTAGAGAGAAAGTCAAAGACATTCCAAGGCATTCTTTGCAGATTGGTATAGAGAAATACTGATAGTCAGATCACTTGCATGATCTGTGCCTCAGTTTCTTCATATTTGAAATGGGAACAATAATAATACCCACCTTAAAGGGTCATCTGTGTTAACACATGTAAGGTGCTTAGAACAGCACTTGGCACATAACAAGCACTAAAAATGTTCACTCTAAATAAATTAATGAGAGACAAAATATCTTTACCATGGTGAATTTTTTCTAGGGACACAGGAGAGTTCTCATTTATTGAAGTCCTTGTTTCACCCAGCTCAGTTTTGTGGTTTTTATATGTATATTCACTGTTAGAGTTGTCTGGGGTCTGAAAGATTGTCTCCCGATTGGTCTCTGCTTCTATGCTTAGTTCTGGGTAAATTGTCTTCCACAAAGCAGCAGAGCAAGACTTAAAATATGAATTAAGTCATATCACTCCTCTCTCCAAAACTCTTTGATGGCTTCTTACCTCCAGAGAAAGTATAAAGTCCTCACTGTAGCCATCAAGGTTGTAATGTGATCTGGCCTTTGCTGCCCTTGTGACTGCATCTCTTTCCCATCCCCCAGCTTATCTCATTTTCACCACGTTCACTGGGTGTCTCAGGCCTTTGTGCTGGCCATCCCTCCTCCTGGAAAGCTCCCCTTCAGTCCGGATCTGTGCTGAAATGTTACCATATTAGAAGGCCTTCCTTGACCGTATCTAACATAGCATCCCCACGTCACTGTCTGGTCTCATATCCTGGTCATACTTCTTTATAGCACTTGTCATTGTCTGACCTATTACATTCATATTTGTCTCTGTTTATTTTCTGCTTCCTGCAGCAGAATGTACATTCCATGAGGCAGAGGCTCTGCTGCTGTATCTCCAGTGCCTCGACTGGTCTGTGACACATATAGGCATTTAATAAATAGTTTGTCACATGTATATTTTATTTACTTCTGTAACTAGGATCTCCTTTTCATTGGCTAAGAGGCAGTTATTGGTATTTAGTATATATCCTCAATCTGGCTGTATACTGAACTTCATCTATTTTTTCTCTTTTTGTACCTTTGGCTGATTCTTTTGGAATAATAAATTACTATTTTTTTTTTGAATACTCAGTAGTTGGAATGTCCTGTGAACCATCCTTTTAGTAGTAATTGACTTATGTAGACATTTGACAGGAGCTATTTGACAGATAATTCAACACTGAGGTTATTAGAGTGTCTCAAGGGCATATATTCTATGCTATTCTTGATGAAAAGAATGATCATTATTGAATGCCTTTGTTCAAGACACTTTCTCTCAAGATTGTTAATGCCATTCTTATTTTCAAGATGACTAGGCCAAACTGGGCCAAAGAGTTTAGGAACTTTTGTCGTTATTAATGTGGACTATTTAGTTAGACTATAGGGGTTTGAATCCCAGCTCACCTACTTACTATTGGCAGTGGGATCTTTGGACAAATTGCTTAATTTTTCTGAGCCTCAGTTTCCGTATAGATAAAATAGTGGTAATAATACTATTATTGTGAGAGTTGAATTAATGCAAATAAGACACTTAGAAAGTACTCAGTTGATATGTTATTATTTGTCCTGTTGATTTTGGTGTGCATATCACTATTTTTACCACCCAAGATCACAGTGCTGAGATTTGAGTCCAGGGCCATCTGAGTCTCTTCAGGCTCCCTTTGTTCCTGAGTTGGTTTTATGTTGATGTGTGGGGCTGTCTATAGGAGAAAAAGTTAACTCAGGGGAGGATACCTTCCTGCTCTTGCTCACAATCCCTCAGGCAGGGAGGCTTTGTTCTATCTCTCTTACACATTATTCCTTCCAAGCAAGGGTTTCTTTGCCTAAAGGATGGCACAGCTAAAATAAACTTTGAAAAATGGTACCACATGATGCTACCACTGATCCTGCAGAAATGATATTTTTGTGTAAACATTTAAATTTTCCACTCTTATATTCTCTTATTAATTTGAGATTAAATGATGTCAAGCAGTGCCACCACCACCACTAAAACACAACTGCTTTTGCATCTGTTAATGTACTCAAACTATTAGCCAAAGGCTGTATTCTCTCACTTCTTGAAAATGCCATTACCACTTATTTCAATGGAAGAAATTTGTAAGGGCTTCCTGTACTCCCCAATTAGAAACCAGGTCTACAAAACAACACAGATTCCTACTAAAATGGATGCAATGTATTCAATAATGATCATTAATAATCCAAACACTATATAACAACGAATTTTCCCTTATTAATTACTGTACAGTATGTTAGGTTACTGTTTACTTTTCAAAATTCTTCAAGATTGTGCTTTAGGCATGTAAGATCAGTATTTATGTAAGTAATTCTTTAGTACAAAAAAGTGTTGGCCCCTTCCTTCATCCATGAAATCAATGCAGAAGATTTAATACTCTTGTTAAAAAAAAAAAAAATTAGACCAGGAATACTCTGAGAGGACATCCTAGTGTACCAGTGGCAAATACTCCCCTCCAGAGCTACAATGTGATGACCCTCATCTCAGGGTTGCCAGTAGCTTGGGAAGTGTGAGAGATAGAAATTGGTTCTTGTAAGTACAAAAAGAAATGCCTTGTAAGCAGA